CAGTAAAAGGGTCACATGGTAATTTGGTCACAGTAATAAGGTCACAAGGTAATTTGGTCACAGTAATATGGTCACACAGTGATCTGGTCAAGGCAAAACTAGTAAAATGAAATTACTGGTAACTGGTGTAGTGATATTTATTTCATAATACATAATATAGTGTTCTGCTTGCCCTCTGCCAGAGATGGATGGACCTTGTGGGGCCCTGAACGGTCGAACAGTATTTGGTATACCTGTCAATCTGCAGTATAGTTATTGCTGATACAACCCGCCACCGGTCTGCCTTTTAAGCTTGCAAGCCATACCACCGTTTAACTTTTGCCGACTCTCGCCATTCCAAATTACAGAATTCCCACTCACTGAATGCAGCCTGTGAAATCATCCAGTATTGACTTCAGCAATGAAGTTGATTTAATATGTATTTTATATATAATCTCAACTACTCATAAATTTCCGTGCCTGTACCAATAACGTGAGCGTTTTTTCAAAGCAGATTCTTTTCGATTTTCGGGTGGGGGTGGGGTGAGATGCTTCGCACGTATCTTACCCTACCCGGAAATTGAAAAACGCTCAGGTCATTGGGACAGGCGTGGAAATTTACGGGCAACGGTGCTAATCTATACGAGCGGACGCCCACAAGCCTATACGCCCACCAGCAGCAAATCTCATCGCGGATTGAAACGGCTTGGTGGCACCTTTCAAGTTTGATATGGCTTGGTAGGCAAATTGATCTAAAGACTAGTTCATTAAACAATCGTGACAATGCCAGTATAAATTTAGGTCACATAGGCCTAACTGTTTATTATTTCAATCTCAAACGCCACTTGATCGATATGAGGACCAGAAATACAATTCTGCGGAAATATGAATTCCACGTTCAGTGGTAAATTCGAAAACGTAGTCAAGATTGCAGCCTGTGTGATGAAAACGTGCTTTTCAATTTGCGAATATTAAGTCTCAAATGGCTTGTCGGACTGTGTCGGAGTGTCGGAGGATTCATGACACCGCATCTTGACAGAGCAATTAGTCCAAAGAACCCCCATGGAACGCGACCTGCGCGACCGCGAACGCGATTTTTCATCAGTTCAGTCATTCAAATAGAGCGCGAACACGAACGCGGAAAACCGTCGACGGCATGCACCCAAGCCAGCAGAGGACGTTTTAAACAAAGTGTAACAACAGTCAATTAAAAAGTAATTAATTAATGAATTGGTCCAATGTTATTTTCTTTATAAGTTCCATACAATTGATGAAACAGGAAAAATCACACACCTGTCAGTCCAACCTTCTCTCCGATTCCCTTCCAAATATCTTTCTTTTTACTGTCTCTGGATTCTTTTCAACTTCTAAAATCAAAACTTCCGTTTTATCCATTGTTTGTACCCTACAGCAAATTGGAAAAGCCATGTGCACAAGTTTCCATTTTAGGAAATGATGCAAGGGAGGTGGTACAAGCTGATTGGTTGATAGCAAGAAATCCGCCGCGACTTTCTGAAAAATTCGCTCTTGGGGCAATCTCGGCGGTCGACCGCGCGAACAAATACTTTTTCGCGTTCGCGTTCGCATTCTATTTGAACGGTCCCTCTATAAAATGATGAAACCATTCCATGATGAAAAACCGCGTTCGCGTTCGCGCTCTGTATAAATGCACCTTTACTGTGACCAAATTACCGTGTGACTTTTTTACTGTGACCAAATTACCGTGTGACCTTTTTACTGTGACCAAATTACCAAATTACCAAATTACCGTGTGACCTTTTTACTGTGACCAAATTACCGTGTGACCTTATTACTGTGACCAAATTACCGTGTGACCTTTTTACTGTGACCAAATTTCCGGTGACCGATTTACCTGTGACCTAATTACCTACATTCATATGATAGGCACAATAAAAGAATTTGGAAAAAGATTTGGGGAAGAAACCAAGAAAACTGTTAAACAAGGATTAAATAAATTAGTAGATAGTATTGATACAGGAGAAGTCAAAGTCAAACATAAGGGTAGTGGAATATTTTTAAAAAATATACACACTGGAGAAGGAATATTTCTTTCAAAGTATAAAGGAGAAGGAGTGATTTTTAGAATAAAATAAAATAATAAAAAATGGGTAAAAAATTTAACCATTCAGAAATATTTCCTAATAACCCAATGCTCATGTGTATATGCGGTAGTTCCGGTTCTGGGAAAACTCATCTCACTTTTAACATGTTGACAACACCAAACCTTTTAGATTTCGATTCTTTGTATATCTACAGAACAACACCAGAGCAATCGTATTATCAATTCCTCAAAGCTTTAGAATATCTACCAAAGAAAGATGTTCAAAACCTATTTCAATATTTCGAAGAAAACGAAGAAGAAGTGGAAATAAAAGATATCATAGATAACTACATCGAAGGAAAGAATCTAATGGATATAAAAGTTTTTCTTAAAAAATGTTAATGATCTAGACTTGTCTAATATTGATAGCAAACGAAAGAACTTAATATTGTTTGACGACTGCGTTGCGCAAAGAAATCAAGCTGTTCAACAAGAATTCTTCACGAAGGGAAGACATCAGGGAAGGGAAGACTGTCGCTGCATATACCAATCTCAATCTTTTTACGGGATGGATTCTATGTTCATTAGAAAAAATGCAAATTGTTTTTTATTATTTGAATCAAACGATAAAGATTTATCTCAAATCATTCAGTCGATAAATCACGGAATGGACAGAGATACATTCAAAAAAGTTTGTAAAGCTCAATGGAGAAACCCAGATGATCATGGATATGTATTTGTAAATACTAGAAAACCTGCGGGTGAAAGAGTTATGATCGACATATGTTAATTTTATTTTTTTTAAAAATGAGTAACGATTGGAATAATATTTTAAAAAGAAATACAGAATATATCAAAGCTGAGAATAAAATAAAGACCCAAGTTGAAAATAACAGATTATAACAACTCGGATTAACAGAAAATCTACAAACTCTATTTCAACCCATATTAAAATCTCAAGAGGATATTAAAAAGAGACTCATCCCTCCTATAGAACCCATACCTCCTATAGAACCTCATCACCCAGAACCGAATCCATATGGTGGTATTATAATTAGGACATTAGATGATATTAATAGTCTTTTTTCAAACCCTAAAGCAGATTTACCAAAGAGTATTACTCCAATCATTGATGATGAGGGGTTATTGTTAAATGGCAAATTCCCCTATATTCAAAATCGATACAAAAGACTTAATATTTACATTAACGAGAGGATTAATAGATTTAATGAAAGGCGGGTATATTGGCATTGCCGATTACAAAGATTTACTAGCATACTAAAAATTTCTACATGCAATAAGAAAGTCGGGACCCGAAACAAGAAGATCGAAAGCAGTTGAAACATATTTAAATAAAGTTATTCCTGATGAATATGAAGATGAAGAAGAGGCATTAGATGATTATGCAGACGATTATACACCAATCATACAAGAAATAGACAATTTCGATGATATGGTGGCATCTGGACAAGGTATAACGTTTTTATCCGACAACAACGAGGAACTACTTAATAGATTACGTGTAATATTAGCGGCAATGAAGGAAGAAAATCGATCGCACAGACAATATAATGAAGCGAATTGTATATTAAAAGGACTCCTAGAAAAAGGTCAAATAGATAAAAATGATTATAAAAGCGTGATTAAAAATGTCAAATAAAGAACAACTATTCGTCATCACCTCAAATAAATCAGACATTAAATTGTCTCTAGATTATGAGTACGAACTCGATCGCAATCAAGAATATGAATTGGGATTAAAGTATTTCTCTGTTTACAATTCCATTAGAACTATCAACGAAAAAAATAATCAAATAAAAATATCAACAGATAATGGAGTTACGTTCAAAACCATACGTTTACTACCAGGAAGCTACGAATACCTATCTGAATATGGAGGAAGTGTCAATGGTAAAAACAATATTGATTTCGAAGGTAATTTGAATCTGAACAAAATAAAATTGATATTAAGAAATAATAGTCAAGTTGATTTCAACGTAGAAAATTCATTGAATACGTTACTAGGATTTGATATACAAATATACACCCAATCCACTTTAGCACCACACAAAGCTAATATCGAGAATGATATCGATGTGATAAATATACATTGCTATTTGATAAACGGTGGATTTTTCAATAAATACAAACGTCAGATTATTTACAGTCTTCCAACATTCACTGTACCGATAGGATATAGAATTATAGAGAAACCATTTCAAACGACGTATTTACCACTTAATTCCTTTATCATTAAAGATATAAATCTGGAAATCAAAGATGGTAAAAATAGGTTTATAGATTTTGGTAACGAGGAAATTGTTATTCAACTTCATTTAAAACAAAAAAATTAACACTTTTCATTCTCTTCTTGAATAGTAAGGTAATCGAAATCATCAAATTAGTAGTTTTCATCCATGTTCAATTCTTTTCCGTCGTTGTAAGGATACATGATTCCTTCATTGTCTGGTGCTTTTCTCTTAACGAGATTTAGATAACTTCTAAAAACTTTCTTTTGTTTATCATCATCCTTTGGAATAACTACTCTATTGGTGAAACTTTTTACCCATGGTTTCTTAAATTCATTCGTTACATCGTGTCCATTAGCTAATCGAATATAATCTTCTACGCTTATCTTATCTTTAGAGTAACCCTTAAACGTTTTCTTTTCTTTTAGAATACCGTCGGAAGTTGGAATGATATTGTACTTAATTTTTGGCTCTAAATATAAACCAAATATAATTCCACCATCACCGTAATCATTCTTTCCTTTACAATTGTCATTTTCGGACACCAACCCAGCTTCATTTAATTTATCCCAATTGCTAGACGAAATGTATAAACTATCGGTATCCGTATAGTATATTTCAGGCTTATAAAATCCATCTATCACGCGAGTAAAATTATTAATTATTTTTTTACTGTGAGATAAAACGAATGATCCCAAATGACTAGGTGTTAGTCGTGTAGATTTAGGAGGTGTACAGTAAAATTCTTTTTCTTCTTCATTTATCTCAACTATATATTGACTATCATTTACTTTTTCATAGTTTATAACGTGTGAATCGAAGTTGGCTTTTAAAGTCGCTTCACTACATAGATGTCTCGATGTAGTTATATCCTTCTGAATAGATTTACCATACAATGAATTACCTAATAATTTCATGCAATTACTACCCACGATATTACCTTATCGTTTATATTTATTTCTTAGATCTCTCAAAAATAAAATAGAATCTCTATAGGGTGGAGTTTTAAAATTTTCTTCGTAAACTACACCATCTAATATTTTAATAATTCGTCCACCGCCTTTCACTATTTCTTGATTATCGACCGATGTTAAAACGTCGTGACAGAAACCATTTCTAAACCTGATTTTAGTGCCAGTTTCCTTTTTACCTATTCTATTCGTAAAACTGATTTTATCTTTAGCTGGTATGGGTTGGAAGAGCATGTTGGTAGGATATTCAAACCAGGCTTTTAAAATAGCAGTTCTAGGTCTGAATTTTTGCTCATTAAAGAGCTTAACAAATTCTTTATTTTCTTCTTGTCGAAATGGTCTACCACTTTCCGCTCTCGGATATTCGCTGTCTAAATCCGACATGGCGGAAGCGTACAAACCGTTAGCATCAAAGGCCATTAGTTTAGTACATTTTATTTTTGTAAGTCTCGAATGAACCTCTGTTTTATCTTTTGGGTTAGCACTATATTCTTTAAATAAATCAATTATATTATCACTTGGTGTTTCTGTGTATTCCTTTAATATATTACAAATTTCATCCATTTTATTCGTTTCAAATGATGTTCGATTTGCCGAAACTCTTCCTCCTTTAATACTTTGTCTGATAAAATATCTTATAAAAGGGTGAGTATGTGAGTAAACTTTTTCTTTTTTTTTCTTTTTCGGTGTGTTTCGGAACCATTCTAGTACTTTCATACCAGAATTCTACATCCTCGATCTTTCTCAAATTCATTGGTAGATTAGATGAATTACCCCATGCCGCTAAACTAGATGATTCATGTTGAAAGGAACATATGGAATTAATATTTTGCAAATAATTAAAGTAACCCTTTATTTCTTTCTGTCTTTTCCATTTTTTCTGTAAATCTTCATCGGTTAAAGGTAGAGACAGAATTCCTTTGGCTGTTTTTAAAGGGCATTGTGTTACTTTTTTTTTACGTTTTGATCATGATCCAGTTATCGCTACCGTAATGAGCAATTAATGTTATTCTTTTTTGATCTATTTTTCCTAAACGTTGTAACATTTGATCGATACAATCTGTACCTACAAATATTTCTACTATATTCATTAATTTATTATAAAATTCTTCTGGAATGGAATCTGTCGGCTTTAAATCTGGAGAGAGATTATTTATTCTGTCTAACATTTTTCTTAGTTTTTCTAAATTAATCAACGTGCAAGAATAAGGTATGGCTTTATTTTAGTTATAGGTTTCGCAATCCCATGCGTATAAACAATCATCGTGAATGGTTGGAAAAACGTTTAGTTTTAGAGGTGTAACTTGCGTTATCGCATTATCATCTCCACAAGTTCTCCATACGTTTTCATCGCAATTATCTTCTATTTCTGTAATGCCTGAGACAGAAATGTGATTTATGTAAGTAAAATACCCAATCTAATTCCTCGGATACTTTCTTTGGTTGAAAATGTCTATGTTTGGGCATATAAATTTGAAAATTAGTATTAAATTTCTTATTGAATTCACAGATTCTAGCAGTTGTCATAACTCCTTTTCTGTTTGATTTTGAAAAACGGTTGATGAAATCTTGAAATTCTCTCGTGTAGTCTTCGTTTAAAACACACTTTACAAAGCAGTATCCATCGCTCGGTATATAACAATTTATACCGCTATATTCATTGATCTTTTTGAGTAGGGTAACACCACTACCCTTTTTTGATCTTTTTATTTCTTTGAAATTGTTTTTACGTAAAATGATTTTTCCTGAGAAATACCAATCAGAAGCATCCTATTTTACATCCACTGTTGTGAAGAAATTGCGAAAAGTTTTGGCATTAAAGCCTACAAATTGCATGTATTGTTTGTGTCCTCCATCTTGAATTATCTCTCCATCTAATTCAATTTGCCCTTTAAATGTTATAAATTCATCAGAGATAAGCTTAATAACATTGGAAAAAAGTTCATTTGATATGAATTTTTCATCGTCTAAAATTTCAATTTTATTCATATTTTTTAAGCAACTATTTTTAACTAGGAATTTTTAACTTTTATTGATGATATTTCTACATCAAATTTATCTAAAATTTCATTGCATTTTTCAAATTCTTCAATGGTTATGTTCTTATCTTCTCTCGATCTTTCGAAAAAAATGAATCATTTATTAAGATATGTATTTAAAAGGAGCTTTCTTTTTTGATGTAAAACCTAAAGTAATAAATCCACAAGATGAAGTTTGAACGGCAGTGAACGCGGCTAATACAGTTGGGACAATTATTGGAAGCATTAATCCACCGGTTACGGCTGTTGCCACCGTTATCCCTACTGTTAGAACTGTGCTTAATGTTTTGAAAACAGAATCGATTCTACTCCATGTTTTTCTGCATTTGTTGAATTGTTTTAGTTTTTCTTTTAGTTCGTTTTGTTTGTCTATCATATATTGTTGTCTACTTTCGAGTTCCATTTTTTAGTTAATTAAATTAAGTGAACTTCTGATAAAGCTGCTACGTGTTTACTATCTTCAATAAAAACTTGTATAAATACTAAGGATATTTGTTCTTTCGAATCATTAATCTTATTCAGATGAACTGAAAATTTCGGTTTTTTAATAGAGATTGATATATTAACATATGCATCAACAACATCTCTTATTGCTGGTATTAAAACATTTTGTTTTTGTTGACATTTATAAATATCAATTGAGGTAAATATATCATTATTAACAAAATATAGTTTTACGTATTCAAAGTCTGATGATCGTAAAAACTCATAACTCATTTTCCCTTTTTTGTGGTTCTGGATTTCTAATAATATTCATTGATGGAGGAGTTTCCGTCTCCAATATCATATCAAAATCTTCCAATGCAAGTTGATCTTTATTTTTTTTTATCTGGTATGATTAACATTCTAAACCTATCTATATATTTTCCACTCGTTTTAATTTCATATAAGTGACTAAAACCTTGTTGTATTCGTCGTTAATTTCAAATTCTTTAGTTTCTACATTTTTTGCACCATTGATAAACTGAAGAACTTTACGAGCGTTGAATTGATAAATATAATGCTTGTCCGAAGAATAATGAATCAACTTTTACCTGTATAGGAAAAATAATTTCCATTACAATTTATTCTTCGAAAAAAAAAGTATTTTTATCTTCAGAATCAAATATTTTATAGGGGCGGTTAAATCTGGAGAATATACTCTTATATTTGCTGTAAATCCATATTTTTTATATTCATAATCTGTTGATCTATCTATATTATCAGTAACAGAAGCATCTTCATAACTCAAATTTCCAAATGGAACATTGAAATATTATGATTCTTTCTTGAGACTTTTTTTTCTAATGCGACTATGTTTTTGTCCTGTTTTAAAACTAGGTTATTAATATTGGTTATCTGTTGTTGAATAACACTATCATCAATATTTTGTATTTGTTGTTGAATATAGGTTTTGATTTCGCTATCATCAATATTTTGTATTTGTTGTTGAATATAGGTTTTGATTTCGCTATCATCTATGTTTTGTATTTGTTGTTTAATATTTCTTAGTTCTTTTTGTAATTCACTGTTAAGTTTAGTTTCCAGAGCATTTAATTCCTGTTGAAACGTATCTTCATTTTCATCTGGAATGTTATCTATTAATTGTTGAATGTCTAATTTTTGCAATCTTATCCTCTAATTTAGATATTAATGAAATTAAATTTTGTAACTCAGTTTTATTCGCAACGTTGACCAATTCTTTTTGAATAAAACTTATTAAACTTTTTATCTCTTGTTGTAGTTTAGTATCATTAATAAAATTTTTATTATTTAGTTTATTTAGAATCTTTTCACATTACTTATTTTATCTTCTAAATGGTTTTTATTTACTTCAATTGAATTTATTTGATCCCGTAAATATTTCTTGTGAGCGGCGTCATTATCGTTTTCCGGAGACTTTAAATTAGTTATGGTAAAAGTGTTCATATCTAAATCACCTTGAAAAGTGTCTCCGATTTGATCCACAAAGTAAGGTTTCGCTTTATTTATCCACGCTGTAGTGTTAAGTTTTTTAGTTTCTAAAGATAAAGAACCTAATCCAAACTTGTTCTAATCCATAAGAATCGAAGAAATATATGTCATTTGAAGAGTCTTTGTACAAAGCAGAATGATGAACTCCTTTTTGATCGGAAGTATGTATATTTGTTATCGCGTAAAATTTACCTTTCTTATATTTCAGATCATTTATTTCATCTCTCATACAATAATAAAACGGTGATATATTTAACTCATTCGCTCAGTTGAAAGTTTGTGGTTGTATCGTTTCCATATTTATCGAGAAATTCATTTATTCATTTTTAAAAGTCGGTCTTTTGAGGAGTATGCGGTAAGTATTGTTGAAAACCCAATTGATGAAATATATACGTTGTTTGTGTTTGAAAAAATTGTATTACATTCTGATAAAACACATTCAATAATATTTTGAACATAAATTTGCATTTAAATTTAAAAAATTTAAATTTAAGAAAGCGTAAATGCTTGTCCACATCTAAATTTCTTAATCTTCTATCAAATTCTTCATCATCATCTTTGTTTTCGAGAAATTCATTCATTTTTAAAAGTCGGTTTTTTGAAATTCATTTTGATACAACCTTCCTATGATTTGTTCTTTGTCTTGATCGATTAATTCATATGTTGGAGGTGATGATGTGTTTACTATATCAACGATGAATATTTCGTTTGTCCAGTATCCAACGTAACCTTTTTCTAATTTACTTTTATATTTGAAAATACGAACTCGATCTCCGACTATAAATTTGGGTTTGATATTTAAATTCTTTATTTCATTTTCGTAGTTATGTTACGCGTTAATTGACTTTATAGTATTTGGATTGTTGGTGGCTTGTGTTGGTGTGACACCTATAGATGAATGAATTTTGTTATTGTATTCATCTACAACCTCTGGTAATATTTTAAGCCATTTTTGAGATTTCCGTTCCGTTCTATTATATCTCTCAATAACTACAGCTTTACCTTCATTATGCGTGCTGTAAATTTCAAATCCCAGAGATTTCATATTTTTGTTATAAAATTCACTTCCTTTATCTACCCACAGTTTTTCGGGATGACGGTTAGATTGTTTCATAATCGTTTCAAATGCGTGTTTGACTGATAATCCTGTTTTGTTTTTCAAAGGAATAACCCAAGCATATCTCGTATACAAATCTATAACTGTTAAGCAATATTTAAATCCTCTTTCGACTGGCATATGAATTAAATCGGCTGACCATATTTCATCTTTTTCAAACACTTTAACTGTAAAAAGTTTTTA